CTCATTAATGTTTTAGAGAGAAAAGGGTGCACCCGAAATACCATTGCAATGCATTATTTGTCTTAATATCTTTTATGATTTAAATATTTCTAACTTTGAAATTCTTTGTCTCACGTAACAGCTGAAACAGTTTAAACAGCTCGAACAGGAAGTGATCAAACCAGTGGAGAATGACATCACCAAGTGGATCTCCCACCAGCATTCGACAGACTCCTCCTCTAATTTCTCTAATGGGGGCGTGTGCTTGCGTGATCGCCAGCTGTTGGGCTTCTACGCGGACCAATGCGAGCAGCACTTTGTGACTCTGCTGAATGCCGTAGATGCTTTTTTCGGTTGCGTGAAAGCCGGGCAACCTCCTCGAATCTTCGTCGCACATGGCAAGTTTGTCATTCTCTGCGCCCACAAGCTAGTGTTTATCGGTGACACTCTGTCAAGACAGGCCACGGTGGCAGAAGTGGCCAATCGTGTCATGAACTTAAGCAACGTCTTATGCGAGATGCTAAAGACAGTCGTGAGTGCCACTAAAATAGCGGCTCTCCACTATCCCAACACAGCTGCTGTGCAGGAAATGGTAGATCGCGTGACGGACCTCTCACATTTGGCACAACAATTTAAAGTGCAGCTCTCACAGATGGCGGGATTGTGATGTCATCAACATCCGAACAAAGACTGTCGTTTTAACATGCATATATATTTATACTCATTCTTATGTAGATGCATCACTGAAAGTTGTCTTTTGTAAATAGTCCTGCTCTCTTCCTCTGTGTAAATATTTGGCTCTTTATTTTCTGTAGATTTGTTTTTATATAATTATTATGATAATAATAGAAAGGATTGAGATTTGCATTTGTAGAGTGACCATTAACATTCCTGATCGTTTTGTGTATTAGGCACCTTACAAATTGTCCTTAACTGCTAATTATTGTGTATTGTGTATTGCTGAATGCCAGAACCTACAAAAGGAAAATAGTGTGTTTTGTATGTGTGCTGTATTGTGTGACACACACTCTGCTGAGAGTATGGTATGAACAAAGTAAAATGTTTCTCTGTCTTTGCTATAGAAATGGTTTCACTTGTTTTTTGTTTGCGAATTTTGGTGAATCTCACAAAACATGTCAGGAATGGGCCCAGGTCATATTTACTATACAATCTAAAATAATTTTAGTTGATAAATTTAATTTAGTAAGTTGAAGCCCGCTTTAGGACTTTTAGGATTTTTTTGCACCTTTGCAAGTTTTTAATAAGAAATAAAGTTTTACTGCCCTGTTTTTTATTATTATAATGTGCCAGAAAAACTCATTTTCATTACTGTATTATGGGCAAAATACTATGTAAAATGTTCATCATGGCAGTATTTTATTACTTTTAATTTATGCTTATTTAAATAATAAAAATAATAATATAATATTATTATTTAATAATAATAATATATATATATATATATAAATAATAAAAAATAATATATATATATATATATATTATTTAATAATATATATATATATATATATTATTATTATTATTATTTATTATTTAAATAAGCATAAATTAAAAGTAATAAAATATTGCCATGATGAACATTTTACATAGTATTTTGCCCATAATACAGTAATGAAAATGAGTTTTATAAGTTTATATATATATTAAAATATATATATTAGTTTTATGAGTTTTTATATATATATATATATATATATATATATATATATATATAATTAGTGTAAAAAAAGGTTATGGTTTTAACCAAAAAAAAAAAAAATCGAAATGCAGAAAAAAAATGCAAAATATAATCCTTCCTTTTGATTTTGTGGAGAAACGTGACCCAGACATTCATTCTAGCATCACAGCATTGCTAACAAAGTATCAAAACCGTGTTAAACGAACGTGAAATCTGGCAGCAGCAAGGAAGACATTTTCCCAAGAGTTTTACCCCGCCATAACTAAATGTCCCACCGATCCATAATTCCTTCCTAAAGTATTATCAGATGATCCAATTGGACAGATATAATCTGATAAAAAAAGACCTTAGATGGATGTGAGCTCCCCAAACCATCTCTGTGGACCTTGGTGACTAATACTTTCCATTCCACGCTGTAATGAAATGAGCATGTATCATTGCTCATGTGGGTTAGCGGCGGTGATGAGAGGCCACGCCGAGGGGATCGAGGAGTTAGTCGAGCACGGCCTGAACACACTGCCACACCACATCATCATTAACATTACCCTGCTGGAACATCCTGAGACCTGCACTGGGAACATCACATGTCTGCCCAGTCCAATTTACTAGGATTTTTATTATGCCATCTCATCTGAAAGGCCTTTTCCTCTCATCTAATAATGTTTGGTACAGATGCTCGTGCTGATTTAGCTTGTGGGCTGTGGTGAGATGAAGGACATTAGCTCATGTAGCAGGTGCTCTGTGGCTCTCGACAGCCACTTTTACCAGCGGATAACGGCCAGGTTTCTGATGGATCCATGATCCCTGCACACTGCGGTCATGATTAAGACATTTGTTATGACCAGTAACAGTATTATATTATTTTGACATGACTTAAACGGCATGCTGACGATTAACCACAAAATATGAGCTTAATTTAACCCACAATTCACTCACTTGTACTTTAATTGAATTATTTAGCAAATTATTTACAAGGTCTCATTTGTTAACCCTAAAACCGTATTCTGGACAAAAGTGGGCAAAATAGTTTTGATTTATTTTTTTAAAAAATACTTCCCTTGATCTGAGCGGTACAAGACTTGGCTACTTTTCCTAAGTTTGCCTCCTGAACACACACACATTTTTTTTACTCAATTCTACAATGTTAAGTGGGTGAAAAAAGAACTCCTTAATCTTGTATTTGGGTCAAAAATGGGCACCCATAGAAATGAATGGGAAAAACTAATTTAGAGCATTCGAAAATAAGCCAAAATAAGACACCAGGTGACGGCAAAGTCACGTCATCTTTAGGTTTTAGCTCTAAGAACTTATTGGAATGATATTTTAATTTAATTAAATGAATAAAACTACATAGTAATTCATTTACATAGAAATAATTTACATAGAAAATATGGTAATTTTTGAAGTAAATAAATTCAAAAATACCCCCCCCAAAAAATATATATATATATATATAAATAAATGGATAGACAAAACTTTATCGAAGATAAAGGTGCAGTGTGTAGATTTTAGCGACATCTAGTGGTTGGGTAGCGAGTTGCACTAAGGGCTACGGTGGCTAAAACAGGACAAACATATCGTCGTCTGAGACAGCAGAGAATAGCCAGAGTAAGCCAAGAGTGTGTAACATTGTCACTGTTTCTGTACCACAGTCCATTATAAACCACATCATGGATAAAGTTTACAAAGCCATAGTCAGAGGATCAAGGGTCTTGATATATAATATAATAATAGTAATCAGCTGATTGTCTCACAAACGTAACCAGCACATTTCTCCCCACATAGCAAACCCATAACACAGCGAGGGAGAACAACCACATGAAACTATGCAACTATATAATTTTTTCACATTCAAAGGTTTAGCACATTTTGTTAAATAAACCCTTCGAAATTTACAAATGAACAAATCGCTCACATTGTTTGCATGTAAAAACAAACGGGAATCTGATGCATTGACACCCTAAACATGCGTCGCACTAGATAGACAAACAACTAGCTTCAAATAATTATTCATATATGGATAAATTTGTCATTTAAAAAGGGTGGTTAAAATTCCTCAATGGTTGCGTTAAACAACAAAGCATGTTACGAACTTCCATGAATACCCTAAAGAATCATACCAGCCTGTGGATAATGGACATCTGATCACCCCTTTAAGCTAAAACGGCTTGCCTTAGCATTCTGCATGAACAGAAGTTCATCCGCCTACTAAACTAGACCCAGCCATAAGAGACATTTATACAACTTTAGTTTACACACATGTATTGAATTCATGTTCAAGCTTCTACAACATCTGCTAAAATGTCCATGCAAGAGACATTGATGGAACTTGAGTTCATTCAGAACAGAAAAACATCTTCAAACAACACGTAAATTATGTTGAAACGAAACTTCACATTCTTTTGTGCTTCTAGGACATTCTCCCTCCAAATAAACTGCTCTTTTGGGCATGGTAATGAATGCTAAAGATCTTGCTGGGATGGGAATGAAGGAATGCCTACTCGCAAATCTCTGTAAAGGCATCGGTATCCACTGACTGGCACTTACACGTAATTAACGATTTAAACATTTGCCACATTCAGGACTAAGTTCTCCTCTGGGAAACAAAGAAAAGAAAGCCTTTTGAGGCAAACTTTTATTAAACATGGTGAGGGAGCGGTAAATTCTTCCCATCACTCTCTCCAAACCCTTTCCTGGTGATTTATCTGGCTCTTATAATGGCATTCTGTGGTCTTGGATGTGTCTCGAGGTGGATCTGCACTGAATTAAAGAGCCCAAAGAGGGAGAGGGATGACTTATCCAATCAATGCATCACTTCACTGCTCACACTAAATAAGTCAACCAATCAGAGACGCCACAACAGATACTCCTTCAACAACTCATTTTAGTAAGTATTCAGGAAACTCACAACGATAAAGTTGCACCATAATCGTTTGAAACTTGCATAATGCTAAATATGAGAACAAAAATATAAAGTAGATTGATTTTAGGTAGCCTTATACTGAATTTAGCTATATGCTAAAAAGTATTTGACGGAGTAGCCTATCACGATGCAATTATGCAAGTATGTATTTTTACATGAGGAAGTATGTGAATATGCAATAAACATTTCCAAACCCCTCTAAACCCTGTCCTGACCCCTGATTTTGACATGCAACAGCAGACAGGTGTTATGTTGGCAATAATGTTGTTGTGAGGGAGCCAGTACTGCAATGATCAGGCTTTGGCGTGTAACAAACATTGACAACAGAGATTTGTGGCCCTGTCATTGCAACAAAAGCAAGAGTATGGTGAAGGAGAAAAACAGAGAAGTGGAAGGTCTGACCTGTGAATGCAGTGGCGAGCAGAGCAGCGCTGGCGATGTCATTTCCGTGGCTTACCGCAACCATTTCCTGTGAAGTATTCTAAGGCCTCAAAATTACAGCTTCTGTGCATGGCAAAGCTTGTTACCTCTTTCATTTCGTAAAAGCTGCATATATTTCAATAGGTTTTATAATGTGGACCAAAAGAGGGGTAGGCACCTCTCTATAAAAATACTGACAGTTTCTGCATAAGTGCGCTAAATCTTGCGTGTCTGGTCAAAAATTGATGACTTTCATTTGATTTAACCAGGGTGTATTTCACCATGTTTTAAAATGATATGGATATGGTGAAGCGCCGAGAACACACTCGGTAAAGATAATGAATTGACCGCAGCTGCAGGAGCTTATGCATGATGGCCGTGCACTACATGTGAGCGTACACCAGGGGGCGCTCGGGGGATCACCGCGAGGATTTTAGCCACAAAATATTTAAATATTTATTCAAAGAATAGAATAGGCACTGACATGAAATATTATCTACCCAAGCAATATATGTATTGTTTAATTAATATACCTTAGCTTTATACAATAATTACAAATAAAGTCCAATAAAGCCTCTAACGTGATCCCGTCGTTTATCTAGATACTATTAAACCCCAATGAGTCTAATATTAGAAATATTAATATATAATATTGGTGTTAAAATACATATTGTTAATTTTAAAAATAGGGAAAATATTATTTAGACTCAATGTACCTGACCAATCTGAACCACACACATTTCGTCATCAAGTCGTTTATGTTTAATTTCTTTACGTCACGTTTACATTTACATGTACGCTATAATTAATTGTGGTTTAATACTGCAAACCTTACAAATACTGCAAATATGTGTTAATATATGCAGCAGCCAGTTAATATTTGGTCTTTCTTTATGTTTTATTTTCTAAAAGGTAAATGTCTAATCTAGGAAGAAGAAGAAATGTCTAATCTTTTTTTGTTCTTGTTGTTGTTGTTGTTGTTTTGCTTGCAATACTGCCATCTTGTGGACATTTTTAGTAGTGCAGAGAAAATACTATACACGTTTATTATGCAAGTGTACAAACGACCGAAGTGCTTTGCATTTGTTAATGATTATTTTGTCTGAAATCTTTACCGTTATTAAATGACATTCAGATATAGGTCTTACTATAATTAATAGGGTTTTGGTAATACAAATCAATAATTAATATAGTCATTTTATTTATTTTTCTAAAGGTATTATTTGAGCAAAACAATTTAAAGTTATAATATAGAAGCAAATTGGGGCTATTGAAGAAAATGAAAAACTTCCAAAATTTCATTATTTTAATTTATTAGAGTATTATTTTATTTGCGGTTTGCTGCTATTTTTAGTTGTGCTGCAACATCACGTTTACATTTTACTGATTCATGATTGAAGTCCACAAAGGGCGATTAGAGTGCTTTAGTTAATACAGTAATTTGTTTTGTTTTGTTGTTGTTTTTTCTCTAAAAATATTAAGCAAATCAGTTTTCCAGCACTTGCTGTATTTTATTCGCATATTACTGCCACCTTGTGGACATTTTTAGTAGTGCTGCAAAATCTTTGCATGAAAACCCTATGAATAAAAACCTGTAATATGGAGTTAATACATCCAGTAATTAATATTCAGTGATTAAATTTTTTCTCTAAAAGTATTATTAAACCAAATCAGTTTATTTAGTTAATCTAGAAGCAAATTGCATGTTTCCACATTGTTTGAAAAGAAACTTCCAACACTTGCTGTATTATTTTATTTGAATTTTACTGCCACCTTGTGGACATTTTTAATTGTCCTTTATCGCTTTAGCGTAAGTTTATATGAACTGATCATAGACTGTAAAAAGTACTGATTAAAGTCCGTGAATGGCTATTTTTTTTTAATTAATGGTAAATTATAAAAGTAGACCCAATTAATAGTATAATTGATAAGGATTAATATCGCAAATCTACTAATTTTTCGAGTGGTTAAAAGAAAACTTCACACCGGTGTTTGATTTTAGCATTTTTTTACCGTCTATGGATTTTATTCCCATTTGACTGCCATCCTGTGGACATTTTTTGTATTGCAGCAGAATCACTTCAGTGTAACTTTTCATGGTTACATACGGATTAAAGTCCATAAAAGGCGATTTTGCTTTTGTTACTGATAGTTCATGAGACGTAAAATTACAACTATTAATTGACATTCAAAAGTAGGCCCTATTAATTCGATAATTAATAGTTTAATACACCAAAGCTACTTTTCTTAAATAAGCAAGTTAAAATAAGGTCATCTATTTTCTCTCTCTAAAATACTGATAAACACCAGTCAATTTAAATGCCTAATCTAGGCGTTTATGATTCATAGATATATAAATATAGATTACTTATTAGTAGATGTTTCAAACATCGTTGGTTTGAGTGACCTTCAAATCCGCTGTATTATCGCATTCGCATTGCACTGCCCTCTTGTGGACATCTTCAGTAGTGCAGCAAAATTGTTCCGTCAAATTAATATTGCAAGTCAAAATTAGGTGTTTTATGAACCAGAGCTGATTATTTAAATACAAAACAACACACTAGTGTGCGAATTATGTGTTTTAAAATAATAATATGCGTTAAAATAAAATTAATTCACAAACAACTTAATTGTTTTATTTAATATATTTATTATGAAGAGGGGGGAAAATCTACCGTCATAAAATGGACAACAACAAAAAACATAACGAAACATGTGACCACCTACATTGCTGATAACAGCATTTCATAGAAGTTTACCTGCACACAGTTTCACACTCGGGCAGGCTGAGGCTGACCTGGGGTCAGTGTGGCATTATTAGCTCTAATGCTTTAATAAAGCTGGGAATTGCAGGCATACTGAGATCCATCCACTCAAACAGGACGACTTCAACCCGAGCCAGAGGCACAAGAGCGGGGCGGTGCAAGCACTAACGCTGGGAGCAATGGAAATTTTACAAAAACATTGTATCAGGGCAATTGTTAACATCGTATGGGTGTGCAGTCCAGTCAAAATGTTTGTTTCCTTCATAACATTTCAACCCCACAGAAATATAAAGAGGATTTCATTGCACGTGTCAGAGCCAGTCGGGTGTCAGTGTGAACAGTAGTGCTGTCAGCTGACTGATATTTGATCGTTCGTCAGCATGTTTTCTGTGAGCTTGAGTAATAACAGAATAGGTCAACGGTAACAAATACATACTGGATACGCTCTCACACATATATTTACACATCCATGCAGCCGGAGCCGAGGGTAGCAGCGGGTCGGGACATGAACGTGTGGCTGAGAAGGTTCATACTAAAAACATGACTTCACACCGGCCGAGTGTAACCATGGTGACTGAGCCGATGTGGAGGAGATCTATGTAGTGCTGTCAGGAGGGACGACCCGTTGGCGGGCGGTCTTGGGACGGTGGCGGGGTGTCGAGGGCGAGCTGCGTTCACTCTCAGACTCGGAGGGCTCGGTTTCTGCCTGTGGGGAACCGGTGTCACCCACCAACTCCCGCAGGAACTTAAACTTGGACAGGAAGAGCTGCCACACCACGTACCACCCTGCACACAAGACACACACACTACAGTGACCGCACGTTTGGCTGTCAGGTTAAGGAATAGGAAATATGAGAGAGATGATATAAGAGTTTACAGTTATATTTGCTCTTTTATGTTGGCTCACATTAAGCATTTACATTAACTGTATGATAAAGCACAGATTTGCTAATTTATGTGTATTTAAAGCCCTTCAGATGGGAAAACTCTTTAATAAGCTTATTATTAAAAGAATATTATATGTTTTTACTGCAGTTCATCTCAAGAGATGTTTCTAATAACTTTTGTTTAGCGTTTTCACCCGTGTAATCTGTACATTTATAATTATAAATATTGTAATATAATAATAAACAAAAAACTTTTTCTCACAAGTACATTTCTTAATAAAGATTTCTTCCTGATTCTGAAGTAAAATATAAAATATGCAACATATTCATCAAATAAGAATCATCATAATAATCAAACAAAATATGTAGATGAATTTAGATAATGGGAAACTACTGGAAAAATGTCATGAAAAAAACTTGTCAAAAGCAAAATCTTGCAATTTACGCTCAGTACACAAAATAATATTTATTTTTTCATTTTAATTGTGCGGTAAAAAAAATGAAGTAAGTAATATACGAATCTAAAAACATCCAGAAACATTATGGTACTAAGAATTTAGTTGGAAAATGTAATTTAAAATTTTTATATATATATAAATGTGCTAAGTGCTGGGCAACAATTAATCGCATTCTAAAATAAAAGTTTGTGTTTACATAATATGTGTCTGTGTGTGTATTTATATATAAAAAATATACACAGTACAGATATATATTACATTACATAACACAAAATTTATTTTGGATTTGATTAATTACATTTAAATGTTCCCCAGCCCTAATATATATATATATATATATATATACATATACTAATGCATTAACTAGTGTTAACTATTGTTTGCAAAATGCAATTATTTTCTTTTTCTTTTCACTCTTTGGTAAAATATGACCTGGGCTCACTCTTGGTAGAATTTGTGGCTTTATTTCAACAGATTCGGACACTTCAGTTAAGACAGATAAACGGTCTTCCTCATTGATAGTAACACACAGTGGGCAGCGGGTTCAGTTAAGTGACCAACACAGATCTGAGTCGAGCAAACCTCTGACATGAAGACACAAATCACACACACTTATGTAAGAGCAGACAGGATCCTACAGTACAGAGAACCTTTCTTACAGCTACTGTGATCTTAACACATGTGGGTCAGCCAGAGAGACCTCGACTAAAGTCAACACTCGACTCACAGCGAGCTGTAGAAATGAGACGTGCGTGTCGTAATCAAACCTGCTGACAGTCAGCAAACCTGCTCTATTTTTGCAATGCTTGACTGTCCCGACCGCATTCTCACTCATGGGTCATAAATCAGGACAGTGAATCACTGTAGAGAAGGTTCATGACCATTAGATGTCATCTCAAAAATCAAGCAATCACTGCATTAGCCTTCACAAAATCATGCAGTTCCTCAAATCTCCAGTTTAAGATAACCTACACTGACCCTGAATGTATTTGGACACAGTCTGAATGTCACTGAATCAAATAATAAATACCACAGCAAGTGTGTGTGCTGCAGGATCTCTTCTCAGGGGTTTGTTGGCTGCACTTACCGAAGAGCATGAAGAGGAGGACACATATCAGCGTGGCCACGATCACCAACACCGTCAAACCAACACTCTGCCACATCCTCCCCTCCTTTACAAGAACAAAAAGAGGTTAAAAATTAAATAATGGAATCAAGCTATTTGGCAGAAAATATACATATGTAAAAATGTGTGTGTTATAATAGATGAAAATTATATTATAATCAAACGATACCATGCTACACCTGATACCACATACAGTACTTTTTAGGCACACACATCAGGTTATATTAAACATGTCTGGATAATACCATAGCAATAAAACAAACCATTTAAATCATAAAAATGCCACTTAATCATATTACACAAAGCAACGATGCTATGTTTCAGACAGTATACGTTACCAATGTACTGAAACTGATAATGAAACGTGTAGCCATATAATTTACTATATCATATGATAAATAACATATAATTTACTATATCATATGATAAATCTCATTTTGCATGTGTGATATCAGTTTAAAGTATCTGCACTAACACGCGCAAGGTCCGAGGCTAATATGAGTCATGCAGATGAACGTGTTTATGTTTATGATGATCAGATTTATGATCACTTACAGTCGTTCACTCCTCACAGTCTTCACGCAGAATCCCGCGGGGACGGAGGCCGGTAGCGCGTGTCATGGAGGGTCTCAAATATTCCTCTTATCTACATCATTGCGACATTTACAGAGAAAATAGAATAACGAGAAAACACCGAGCGCGAGTCAACAACACACTCAATCTGAGATGACCCGGAAGTCCTCAAGTCTTCCGCTCCACCGCGAGGTATTGTGGGAATTGTTGTTCACCGCGCAAAAATAATGAAATGAAAGCAATTTGTCTCTAGAACTTATCTCACTTCATCAAGCTATTCTAATTTTTAAATATGGTGAAATGTTTTGACTTTTTGGAAATGATAAGACCAAATATAATAATATGGTTTTTGGACCTTTCATTTTCTTTATTTTTATTCTTTCTTACCTTTTTAAGATTTTTTTTCAACTTTCTTTCTATATCTTTCTATAAATGTTTCATTAATTCGAATAATTGATAACAAATAATTGCGTTAATAACCCTTTTCATATTTATAAATATGCACAGGTGAAGATATCAGAAATTTTTTTTATCCCAAAGCAGATTTGCTTTTACTCTTTTACACTGTGATGAAATATACTGTAAAAATGAAAAATCTATGAATACTGAATTTTATATATAGAATATCTGATTTTAAAATGTCATCTGAATGTGTTTATAAAGGCCACTTAGACTAGAGTGTATTTAATCTAGGTCTACAAATAAAACTGATGACTGATGTATGAACCTGAAATGTAAGAATCACACACAAAAATATCGGATAGCGTACAGGTGAGGTCATCATACTGGCTTAATATTAGACATAATAAAACAGAAACAACAATTAATTAATTCGTTTATTAAAAGTTAAAATTAAAAATTAAAGTACAACAAAATATTTATTCAGATGCTGTAAAAACTTGTAAAGCGGAAACAACAAATGATTCTCAACCCTTGAGTAAAACACAAATTTTTGATGTTTTTAAACGTGAATTAAATGAAGTATTGTTTTCATCAAGTATTTCATATTAGGGCTGTAAATTCATTGATTGTGTGTGACAGGTGTGATGATCAGTGGAGTTGAGTTTGTACCTCCATCATTAAGGCCCGGGCTAAAAAATGGATAGAGTTTCCCAGTGAAAGACTGATGAGTGAAAGAGTAGAGATGAGAGCTGGACTCCACATCATAAAAGGAGACCAGACCCTCCTCATAATCCACAAACACACCGACCCGCTGCGGCTTCACTCTCACACACAGAGAGACACGAGGATCAGCTAAGGCTTTATATTCATTCCCATTCCTCAGCCACACAGTCCAGTATCCATCACTGGGACTCAGTGTGATCTCTCCCTTCCTGTTAATGGATTCTCTGACCACTCCTAAATCCCAGGCAGTCTTTCCCTTCACCTGCACCTCAAAATAAAATCTCCCTGAGGAGAATCCCTCCTTTCCCAGGACAAGTATATATCTATCAAATCTCTGTGGTGTGTTTGGGAGTTTCTGTGTAATGTCTCCATCTCTCACTTGTTTTGCATCATCAGACAGGATGAGATCAGGATGAGCTGTATCAGGATCCAGAGTCACATCCACTGAGAAAACAGACAATATGAATCACAACTTAATACAGACTTGTGCTGATGTGTGTAATATGTAATGAGTGTGTAATCATACTGTAGGTCAGTGATGAAGCTGTGAGTATCTGAATGTAATCTAGTGTAGATCAGACACACACTGTACCTGCATACTGCTGTATCCTCTTCACAACTGTAGAGACACATGACAATAAAACATCAGCAGATCTTTCACATGTTTATGAGTGTAATTATAGACAAGATTTAAGGTTATATTTAAAGAATTATGAACAACATCATGTTTTATCTGATGTGTGTGTGTGTGTGTGTGTGTGTGTGTGTGTGTGTGTGTGTGTGTGTGTGTGTGTGTGTGTGTGTGTGTGTGTGTGTGTGTGTGTGTGTGTGTGTGTGTGTGTGTGTGCGTGCGTGTGCGTGTGTTTTAGCACTGTGAGGTGTTGGAGATTCAGGCCTGAATCTATATTGATGGAACAAAAGAAAACACAAACAATCTCAGAGTTAATTGAATATTAATGTTTCTCTTCACAGTTTCCCCTCTATACAGTTTTACAAAACTTACAATATTTGAAAGCTAAGACTTTGTTTCATATAGTAAAGTAACCTGCTCTTCTTGTCTGTCCGTGTCCTCTTTGCTCCGCAATGTTTCTTCACTGTGTGTGAATATGGATGTGCGAGTGAATGCTTGAGTGTCAGTCGTGTGAGTCTCTCTCTGAATGTCTGAGTTTTCAGTCCTGATATAAAGATGATAATTATATGTATCTGTACGGTGTGTTTGATATTGCTGTACCAGTGTGTGTGAGTTTCTCCTGTAGAGAGTCCTGCAGTTTAGTCAGAGCTGTCCTCAGAGTCTCCAGACTCTCATCAGTCTTCACACTGATCTCAGACCAGTTCCTGGTGTTTGTGGAGCTGCACAGGGACGAGTAAATCTACAGCAGGAGAGAGAGAGGAGAAATCCTTCAGCATGGGGAGTGTTCTGGTGTCATTATCATTGATCAGAGAGATGTTGACTGACCTGTAGGAGGTGGAGGTGATCTTCAGTGTGTGAGAGCTGCTCCAGCTCAGTGTTTCTCATCTTTAGCTCAGTGATCTCCTGCTCCAGCTCTTCAATGAGCTCTTCCTCCTGTTTCTCTGCTGCTTTCTGCTGCTCCTCCATCATCTCCAGCAGTTCAGTCTGACATCTCTCAATGGAGCGGATGAGATCAGTGAAGAGCTCCACACGGGCTGCTTTCTCCTTCTCTGTGTTTCTCTGAGCAACCAGGACAATCAACACATTATTAGTGGAGTTTGATCACTGTTATTATTTCTCATACTTCAGTGTTTTCAAAATCCCTCATTCTGCAGCGTTTGCACTCAATGATTCCTCAGATCATTGGGGGTGGTGATGGCGCAGTGGATAAGACCTTTATTTTTTAAGCCTTTGGTGTGAGAGACCCGGGTCGAATCCACTGTGCGACACCAATGTGTGCCTGAGCAAGAATGTTTAGGCTCCTCCCGAACTTTCATTTAGTGCTGGACAATGACTAATCGCATCCAAATAAAAGTTTATGTTTACATAATATATGTGTGTACTGTGTTTAATTAATTTGTATATACATCCACACACATGTATATATTTAACAAAAATGAATGTATAAATACATATACAGTATATACATGCAAATATTTCTTAAATATATAGATGCATATGTGTTTATTTATCTAAATCATTACCGAATTATTATTTATAATAACAATAATTATACACAGTACACACACATATAATGTAAACAAAACTTTTATTTTGGATGCGATTAATTGCAATATATGGTTGCCCAGCACTAAATTAAATAAGTCAAATTTAATTATTTTAAACTCACTTTTCTGACTTCTGCTGAGTGTTTGACGTCTTGAATCTTCTTGATTCTGTCCTGGATCTTCTGATGTGTGTCTTTCTGTGTCTTCATCAGTTGAGTCTATAGACAGAGAAGAACACATAATATGTTTTTATAATTGATTCATTTATATTAAAGAACATGTGATTCCTCATGATAAGAGCCATTTAAAATCAGTTTGTCAGGAACTTCTACCTTCTTCTCTTCACTCTCCTCTTCTAGAGGAACAGTGTTGTGGTTCTTGTGGTCTGTCACGAGACACATCGGACACACACACGTCTGATCATCTCTACAGAACAGCTCCAGAGGTCTCTCGTGTTTCTGACATATATAGTCCTCCAGATTACTCACAGGATTGATCAGTTTGTGTTTCTTTAAACCTGCCACTCTCAGATGAGGCTCCAGGTGAGTTTCACAGTAAGAGCTCTGACACACCAGACACGACTTCAGGGCTTTCTGCTTTCTGTCCTCACAGACGTCACACACAACTTCAGCTTTTTTCACAACTTCAGCTTTTATCTCAGGACTTTTCTTTTTATAGTGATCTGCGATCTCTCGGAGTGTGGTGTTGATCTTGAGATCAGGTCTGTGCTTGAATGTTTCTTTACAATATGGACAGTTGCAGGTCTGGCTGTTGTCCCAGCACTTATTCAGACAGGTCTTGCAGAAGTTGTGTCCACATGGAGTGCTGACTGGATCAGTGAACACGTCCAGACATATCGAGCACTGAAGATCCTCAGCCTGTGGACCGCTGGAGGAAGACATCGCTGGAGAGAGAAATGATGAAGGTAAATCACCTAGTTTGGCCTAGTTCATCTAGTTTTGGACACACATTTGACTTTCTGATCTAATGGGTTTTGCCTGAAGGACTGAAATAATAATAATTACTATTATTATAGTTATTATTAATAGCCTATTATGATAAATGGATGAGTTCAACATCCCTCCTGTGAACTCATTTAATACTGTTTATAAAGAATCTCATGAAGTTGGTTGAATGTAAAGATTGTCTTGAGATAAAGAGTGATGACTGAAGAAACTCAAATATATGAGAGATCATGTACAGTCAGCTGCTCATTACTGTAAAATGAACCCAGACAAGCTGATCAGACCCTAATGTGAAGCTCAATACACAAACAGTATACCAAATCAATAAATATATGGAGTGATATTGATTAAAAATATTAATTGTACAGTCCTGAACTGTACATATTAAATATTATATATTATATAAATATTATATCTGAAGACTGTAAATCATTCACACACTAATTCATTCTTATTCTGTTATTATTTGTATTTACTTACATGGACGTATATCCTCATTACTCTGTCTCCTGTTTTTTCTTGCTTTTGTTGATGTTGGTGAAGATTCTGCCATTGTTCTTCCCTCTTCATTTTCAAGAATAGAAATGTTATTGAATGACCAAAGAACTGATAAGAAACATCTAATGTGTTTTTGTCACTGAGATTTAAATAAAATCTTACATCGAGTCTGATTTAGTTTTACTTTTTCATAATAATATTATTTCAAGTCGAATTTATAATTTATATTAAACTGGTTAAAATGAAGAAAGTAATAAACTTTGACCTGCTGTTTAGATTAAAGAAAGTGATATTTTCCAACAAAGCTATATATACACATACATACATATATAATATATATACATCTCTCCACCAAATACATTAGGCCTATATAGTCAAGTGTAGTTTTGATCTAGTTTATTATGTGATTTTCT